TGACTGACTTATGAATTACTGCACAAAATAAGATATTAAAGAACGTAGTTAACTAAACAGTTTTGGTGACCATTGACTTCCATTGTATGGACCATAAAACATGAGACAAATCTCAAAATGTCTTAACTTATGTTCCACAGAAAAATTAAGGTCATATATGAAATGACCAAAAACAAAACAAAACAATGAAACAGTGATGGACTAATACATTTCAGAATTTTATGCTTCAGATAAACATCCAACCACACCACAAAAATGTAATAAATTAAAAGAATAAATAAATAGATTTTTAACTGACTTTCATGATTATCAGCTAATTACTTGTTTAATGCATTAAGCACACCTTTCCTAAAATGAAAAAAAAAAAAGAAAAGAAAAATATTTCAAAATTACATTGCCTTAAATAACATTACATTGTTATTTAATGATTGACAATGTATTGTAATCTATCTCATTTCCGAATGGCCTTTATGCATCAAATATCTTTGAATTTGATTCTTTTAAAGGTGTTCACATTTTGCACAGATCATTATGAATGGAATCTGGAATCTGCTTATGGGACTTTGCTGTAGGGTGCTTAAGAAACACTGTGCATTTCCTCAATAAAAGCAGCAATGCAGCCACGTAAAACCAGAAGCATTCACAGCATTCTGAAAAAATGAACCGAGAGAAGAGTACAGCCAACATTGTAAGTGGAGCCTGTGGCCAAATGCCTTGCTCAGTGACACAATAATGATTGCTCAATAGTGAATAGTTTAACAGCTTTTCATATTTACACTCTCTTAGTTTAACCACAACACAGACAAACTAAATGTTAATAATACCTAAAAAAAAGAAATCAGAATATTGTACATGGATGCCTTTAAAAGGCCATCGATTGAGCTAACAGGGTTATGCTTACCAGACAAACCTTAACCAATAAGCTTTTTTTATGGTAAGTACAGGGTAAAACCATACACAATCAAATTTAATAAGAAATATGGGCTTGACAATCAGGATGCATAATTGACATTACATTTTGGATTCGACTTTTCTGTGCTACACAAATCCAGTGTGACTGCAATTGGAAAACTGGGTGGCCTCCTACATTTCTTTTTAGTTCTAGCACATTTCACAAGGTGTATTTAAGGTACTGAAATATACAACACTAGTCACAGGTTTTAGTACGCCAGCTTTGTGTCACAGTAGATAACACAGCTTTCATAAAAACATTGACAATGAAAGCATATTGCAATCCATTTATCAAACCATAATGATCAGAAACATAAAAAAATGTCTTTACGTTTTGGGATCCTTGTAATCACTTCAAAAATAAAGAATTATCGGTTATCGGTATCGGCCAAAATGTTCATATCGGTGCATCCCTAGTAATCACCTCCTTTTCCATGGCTGTTAAATTATTTAATATGCCTTCCCAGCTTCCTGTCCTTTTATTTAATGTGCCGTTTGTCCCACCTGAAGGGTTTATTATTATATGTTATTTTACTTACTTTCCTTGCTCTCGTCTGGTCAGATTACACACTGTACGTTGCTCCTTTTTAATGGCTGTAAATGGAGAATGGTGCTTTTTGTCCCTAGACAGTGTAGTTATGGTATCTGACAGCAGAGGTTTTATGCATGTCAGCATCTAAGGATATTTTCATGGTGTAAAAAATAAATATCAAAGGAAGTAAGGGGTTGACAAACAGGATAAATAATTTATATAAGAACGTATAAAATATATATGAGATCATTTAGTTGCACACTTGCACTTGGGATTAAAATTCCAGACATTTCCATGTTGATCTCTTGGTCAGTGCTGCCGTTTATACAATAATCATTTTCTGCAATCCTCTGCCCTCTGCTGCACGATACAGTCACTGCAAAGCTGGGATTTTGACATTTCTGTGCTATGTGTCCTATATACAAATATGCTTAATTCTTGTTGAGGGAATCTAGCTGTTAAAAATGTAACATATTAATTCAAATCTGCTCAGAGAAGTGAAATAAACCAAATGACTTGAAAGTTCCTTATCAGTAAAATGATTCAATCCTCCCATCACTAGTACATAAATCAGCATACAAGCTGGCACAATAGGGTTGTCGTAAAAAAGTCTTAAATATTACAGGGCTTTCAAAACTATTTTAACTTTTGTAAAAATGTAGGAATGTAGATATAAGGTGACATGACTTATATATAAGTATAATTATATATAAGTATAGGTATATATTCAGTTTTGATTTCTAATCAAATTTCTAATCAAATTAGGTTTATTTACACTAAAAATCAATGCAAGAGGGTAAAATAATTTATTTCTTCCTCAAAACATTGAATTTTGATTTCTAACTGAACTAATTATGTATAAATGTTTTCACACATGATCATTGGGTGTAGGTAGGTAATCACTAAATAAATGTGGCATTTCAATAGCAATGTTTTGAAAGATGTGTCTAATGTAGAGAACTGTGTTTAGCGTTTTGCAAAAAGTTTGTTTTTCATTCATTCATTCATGCCCCCCACCTACAATCCCTGCCGGTACCGAGACTCGAACCTGCGACCTTTGGTTTACAAATTCAACTCTCTAACCATTAGGCCAAAAACTTAGGCTTCAGCTGTGCCTCATTGTAGATTTGCCTCTTAAATCTAAAGGCACATCTTGATATTGTTTTAAAATATAATGTAATGGGATTCCAGATGGACAACCTAGACAACATAGTAGCTTGGTTGAGGCAATTTAAGTTTTCAAATAAATCTGAAAACTAGTAAAAATGAGAGATTGAAGGGACTTACTGAAGCTGCCTGCTGCCTCTGCTGCTGTCTCCACTGCTCTCTCCACCACTGCTGCTTAGTTATCCTGAGGTTTGCTCCCTGTTGTGGGAAACTTGTGGGCACAAGTGCTCCCTGTGGGGTCCCAAAATGCACAGGCGCACTTTTTGGGGTCCTGGAGGGCATAGGTCATTCCTGGGTGGAAGAGATGGGCACTGGTGCATTTTCCAAATGCTCAGTAAGCCTCCATTTTCCTCGTTATGGTCCTGGTAGGCACTGTTGCTAACTTTGGAGACTAGGCAGGCACTACCTTTGCTTGTGAAGACCTGGCAAGCACTCTTGCTCCCTCTGGGGTCTTGGGATGTACAGTAAGGGCTTGAGACTTCTTTTGCAGCAGCTCCTTCCTCAGCCGCTCAGGGGTCCTCAGTTCCCTTTCAGTCAGTCACGTTCGCCGTTATGTCAGAACTGAACTGACGCATTGGGATCTCGTCTTGAGAGCCCAACGCGTCAGTTCAATTCTGATGTAACGTCTCCGTTCCCTCCTTCAGGGAAGGCACGCATGCTCCCTGAAGACAAGAAGCTAGAGGCTTCTGCTGCAACAGCTCCTACCTCAGCGGCTCAGGGTTCTTTAATATTTGCCTCTCTGGGGTCTTGTCAGGCACGCATGCTCCCTGAAGACAAGAAGCTAGAGGCTTCTGCTGCAGCAGCTCCTGCCTCAGCGGCTCAGGGATCTTTAATCTTTGCCTCTCTGGGGTCTTGTCGGGCACGCATGCTCCCTGAAGACAAGAAGCTAGAGGCTTCTGCTGCAGCAGCTCCTGCCTCAGCGGCTCAGGGATCTTTAATCTTTGCCTCTCTGGGGTCTCGTCGGGCACCCATGTTCCCTGAAGACAAGAGTCTTGAGGCTTCTGCTGCAGCAGTTCCTGCCTCAGCGGCTCAGGGATCTTTAGTCTTTACCTCACTGGGGTCTTTATTGGCATGGGTGCTCCCTGAAGACAAAAGGCTCAAGGCTTCTGCTGCAGCAGCTCCTGCCTCAGTGGCTCAGGGATCTTCAGTTTTGGCACCTTTGGGTTCTCTATGTTCTCTCTGTAGAGACTCGGTGGGCACTGGTGCTCCCAGTTCTAAAGCGGCCTTTAGCAGATGATTCCTCAGGTGCTTAGGGATCCTGAATTTTCCTCGTTGTTGGGACCCAGTGGGCACAGGTGCTTCCTGTGTCTTCTTCTAGCTCCACTTCCTTCCCTGTTGCCTCCACTGCTTAGTGGTCTTCAGTGTGGCATCTGAGAATGCTAAGTCCCCACAATCAGACCCAGCAGACACAGGTGCTCCCTGTGGGGACCTGGCAGGCAGAGGTGCTACCTGAGGCTTCTTCTGCCTCCACTTCCTCTGCTCCTCCGTGGTCTTCAGTGCTGAATCTAAGAAGCCCAAGTGCGGAGACTCAGTCTTCTCCGATGCATCACTGAAAATGGGAGCTAAGGTGAGGTCTCCCCTCTTAGCTCTCTCAGACCTGGTGACAAGGATGAGGTGAGGTCCCTCTTCTCAGTATAGACAGGCACAGGTGCTCCCTGTGTCTTCTTCTGCCTCCACTGACTTGTGGTCTTCCAAGTTGAATCTGGGAAGCCTGAGTGCGTGGACTCGGCCTTCTCCGATGCATCACTGAAGACCAGAGATATGGGCCATGAAGTTTCTCCTGCTTCCATCGTTTCCCACCACTGCCCTGAGATGAGGTTCCTATACTCAGGGTCTTCAGATATGGGACATGAAACTGGTGGAAATGGTTGACATATTGATGTTTGATTTGATCGTAAAAGGTGATCCAAAGAAGTGAATAATACCGCCTTTGTGCAATCTATCTGTAAAAAACTGTGGCAGAAGTAGAAAGGGAAGAGATTAATTGATTAAACATGTAAGAGCCTGGAATGTTTTTTTTTTTATCAATTTACAAACTAAAGTGAATAACTCAGGTGCTTATAATGTAAACTTGTACTGAAACTGGAATTGTTAACATTTAAATGCTGTGACAATCTTGAAAGTGAAAAAATGAAGAGTTTTGCTCTGCAGCAATTGTCTTTGCAACGTTGCTCACTTGCAGTGTAAAAGTATTTTACAGTATTTAACGTTAAATCATACCAGTTTAAATAGCTGCAGTGCACAACAAAAATTAAAAAAAAAAAACTCGCTTTACAAACAAGAAAATAATTTATTGCAAGAAAAACAGCAAATATTTACAGTATATATATATATATATATACAGTTCCCTTAAAATATTTTGACATGAACAACCGAATATATATATTTTTTTAACTACTTAAAAATACACTGCAGAAAATGTAGACACACGCAAAAATGTGTCTGCAAAATCAGAGTCTGGTTTATGCAAAGGTCAACAAGATAATGCAGTTTATGGTAGATCCGCTATCCATAATCAAAACAATCATGATAACAAATTATTTGGCTTTTTTTTGCTTTTATACAAATCAACAGACTAAAATACGGACAATAAAAGTACAATGCACAAAAATCCAAGAATACTGTACAACATTTTTAGCCCAACTTCAGATGCAAGAGTAAAACAGCTAACAGAGAATCAACATGCACACAACAGCTGAATGAAAAGGAAATCGACCAAACAAACAAGCATTACAATCCCTCTGAACAGAAATGTTCCTATCCCAACGGTTTGGCAACTGCTTCAAAGTCTGACAAGTGGCACCGGTATCATTCACTAAAAGTCATTGTCAGTGCAACACGTTTTGCTCAAAATAATTTTTAGAAAGCCTGATAGCAACACGCTACAAATATAAATAGATAAAAATAAACCAATTAGACAACTGACTGTTCTAATAGTGCAGTGTACATCCTTAAGTACACATTATAATCATTAATTCTGTCCTTCATGTTTTACCTGAATAACAGGCAATTCATCTGGTAAATAATCGTCACATGTTGTAATGCTGCTTAAAGTTTCTTTGGACCTACAGTAACACATAAAGGACATTGTCTTGAACATCAATAGCAGCTCTCGGTTTGGACGTTTCAGTTGTTGTAAGTCACATATAAGTATAGTGAGCACATAATGCCATCCGTGACAGGGTATTTCAAGTGTTTTCTCAAGGGTCACTGCTCTCCTCTGCTCTGGCACTAATACCGTCACTCAAGAAAGCCTCTTTCTCAGGTGTGGCTGGTTTGTTTGTCATTGTCGGTTTGAAGGTTTTGATGTCTTCTGTGTCGTTACTGGCCAAGGCCGCCTCTGTGCTGTGCCAGATCCCATAGCAAAAATAAATAACAAAACCTAGAAAGAAACAAAGAAGGTCAAGGAGAGCAGAATACCTTGTACTTGTTTTCTGTTTCACTATCATAACTAGACGTGATGTTATACGCAACAAATTTGAAAGTTATGGCATAGTGTGTCTGAATTAAGTATATCGTCTGTTGTGCTGTTTCAGCATGAAGTGCAGCACTGTGTTCATTTACACGTGAGCAGCTCCTGTTCCAGTGTTTACAGCATCTAGGTTCACAGTAAAGACAGTGAACTCCATCTCTGCATGTGCTGAGAGTTTAACATGCTTTTGGGAATTTGAAATACTTTCTTTTGGCAGTTGCATCATTTATTCTACTTTTGTGGACAGTAGTTTACAGCATTTCACTAGATTTGTAATGGGAAGCATTTGTAAAGCTATTGTCACAAAATCTTAACTCTTGCAAGATGAAGAAATAAAGAAATTAAGATTTTTACGTTTTCTTTTTAAAGAAGTCTCTTATGCTCAATCAAGACTGCATTTATGTGATCAAAAATGAAGTAGAAACAATAATATTGTGAAATATTACAATTTAAAAGTTTTCTATTTGAATATATATTAAAAGGCAATTTATTCATGTAATGCAAAGCAGTCATAACTCCAATTTTAGTGTCATGTGATTTTTCAGAAATCAATTATTATTGGTGCTCAGTTATTAATAATGTTGCTTTATTAAAAAAAAAAAAAAAAGTGATGTGACATGTGGCCAAGTATGGTGACCCATACTCGGAATTAGTGCTCTGCATTTATCCCATCCAAAGTGCACACACACAGCAGTGAACACACACACCGTGAACACACACCCGGAGCAGTGGGCAGCCATTTTTTTGCTGCGGCGCCTGGGGAGCAGTTGGGGGTTCGGTGCCTTGCTCAAGGGTATAATAAAGTGCAAGTTAGTATAATAATATTAGTTTTTGCTGCTTATCATTCAAAAACAAAAATATTTGATAAATAGAAAGTTCAAAATTTCTTTCAAATAAATGAAACAGAAATCACTTTATCATTATAAATCTGTCACTTTTGATCAATTTAATGTGTCCTTCTGGAACAAAAGTATTTTTTTATAATCTTACTTATCCCAAACACCGTTAAATGGTAGTCTATCACAGTTCCCACAAAATATTCAGCTGCAAAAACAGTTTTCAACATCGATAAGAAATGTTTCTTGTTTTGCCATAAAATGAATAAATTACATTTTAAAATATATTAAAATTAAAAAGTTATTTAGAATTGTAATAATATTTCACTATTACTGTTACTATACATTTTACTATTTACAATTTGTTTGATCAAATAAATGATCATAAGATACTTAAAAATGCTAAAAACATGAAAAATGTCAACGGTAAAGTAATTAATATAATTATGAAATTGTTTTTTTTTTATTATTTGTTGTATTACAAAAGCAATACATTAATGTCTAGTTATTAATAATGATAATAATAAATATATTCAGCTTGGAAATGTAAAGACTTTTTTTTACACTTCTGGTAACAGAAAAGATTTTGCTCTCAAAATGCATTTTCTTACAGGGGACCATGGCTCCGGACCCCTCTAGAAGATCCGAGGTATTTCCACCATAGTCCTGTTGGAAATACTGGATTCCTTGCGTGTGGTTCAGACACAATGTTACAGTTATTTTTCCATGTTTATTAGTGCTGGGCGGTATACCGGTTCATACCGAATACCGGAAATATGGTTAACACCCGGTCATGCATGGAAAAAAAATACCATCATGTACCGTGAAACCGGTATAATTTTGAAAAATACCGTGATATACATTTTTGGTCATACCGCCCAGCACTAATGCTTATTGACTTACCTATGGCCATCCAAATGGCGAAGCGCATCCAAGTGCCTCTGTCCAGCTGCATCATCAGGTACACATTAATGAACATGCTGAGGACGGGGAGGAACGGCAGCAGAGGAACCTGCGTACACACATACATCCGCCTGTCTTTACAAACCGCTATAAACGGCAATTATAAAACTCTCTCTGTGTGCATACACGTATTTGTTTACCTTAAAAGACAGTTTTGTCTTGCTCTCAGGCTGCCGCCATATTAACATGGTGATGATTAAACAAGCCACAGCCAGAGTGGCAAGAACCCCAAGTCCACCCTGAACTGCCACGACACTGAACACACACACCAGAACACCTGCAGTGGGAGGAAGCGAAACGGTGAAGAAATCATGGCTGCTAAAATTAATATGTGAACTGATTATTTCAAAAGTGCATCTGCATGTGTCTGAACTAATACACTGGTGCAGATGTTGACAGTTAAGCCAGAGAGATAAGACGGCTCCTCATTTTTGGGGAACAGAAGGTTGCTGAGGGTGCAGAGATCTTGAGATCCAGGCAGGAAACCAGCACTGCTCTCGTTAATGGATTCGGCCTCTGTTTCCTCCTGACAGCTGGCTCTCTGATACTGGACATTCACACTGGGCTGCTCTGGCTGGTACCTGAGAAGGAGGAATATATAGTAGTCTACACCTTAATATGAATTAGGGTTATTACCATTTACTAAAACTAAAACCATAAATAAAATTCATTTAATTTAATAAAGATTAATTACTCTAAAAAAATAAAATAAAAT